CACTTGCATTTTTCTCATTACCATAATGAAGCGCGGAATTGGGCGGGAAACCTCGAGGGGGTGCAGATTCATTAACAGCGGGGGATGATGCAGGTGCCGCCCCTTCGGTGTTGATCGCGCCGCGCAAACAAACCAACAAATTCATCTGACAATGCCAAAGTTTAATCAATACTCGTCCCACTTGCACGTCACAGCCGCCCTAATTGCAAAAAGATCGTCACGACAAAACCCAATCGCCGATTTTCACACAACCTGCGTGTGTAACTTTTGAAATCCACAATTATTATATTATAATTTTTTTTTACAACTACTCGATTTAAATATTGCACAAGGAATGGTTTGGAATCCGAATCATTTGGAAATTTTCAAAGACTTAAAATTTTGGCCAATTAAAACTTTGCGTTTTTCAAATTCTTTTGTTGTAATTTGAGTAAATTTTCATTCCAGTTTTTGGTTGACAAAATGCGTGGATTTTTTTCTTCATGAAAATTTTGGATTTTGTGATAATGAAACGAGCTGCTCTTGAAGAGTTCCTCTTTTGTTTTTCATGTCATTTCGCAAATTGCAAAAGATGAAAGGCGCGTCTTTGCTCGCTCGGGCCTAATTACCGTGCTTCTCTCGAAATTGCCTGGCGTTGTTTGCCAAAGATTGTTATTATTTCGCACTGCAGCTGAGCAAATATTAAGCAAGTTTCCCATCCGAAAAGGAGCCTCTGCATGGAATTAATTGCGACCGCACCTTTCTGGAAACTTTCCAAAAGTTCCTTTATTATTTCGCTGGCGAGCAAAAACGCCGAAGCAGAAATTACGAGCGAAAAGCAAGAAGTGTCACCGCAGCAAGGGAAGCGGAAGCGCCGTGTGGGGTCGTCGCTGCTGACAAACATCCCTTGCCTGAGACAGATCCCCCCCCCCCCCACCAGCTTACGCAGCAAATCCACCCTCGCCCAGGTCGAATTCAAGCTCACAATTTATCCAGAATACTAAAGAATCACAAAGATTTATCGACAAATTTCCAAATAATTTCATTTTGTGACCACATCTTATGTCCAAATTTAAGATTGCAAGAGTCTATTTAAGAGAGTTAGCAATTTGAAACTCATTTCTTAATATGCTTGATTAATATAAAAGATTTTATATTTTTGCTTGAAAATATTTGATTTTTATAGTGACGCAATGAATCGAGACAGTTTGAGACTCAATTTTTGTACAGAGAAGGAATTTGTGTGCGTCTGCGACAAATTTATTACTTCGCAACTGGGATTGTAATAAGCTTGAATTGAAGCTACTTTACAAGATCGGCTGCTGCTGAAAGCTTGATATATTAATTCCGGTTATTGAGTCGCTCGATCCCATTCTTCTTTCTCTCTCTGAAGGAAGCAAAGAAAGAAAAAGTTCGCTAATCCCACAGTCGGTCAGTCCTGCCGGCCAAGGCGACCTTTTCCTCCTCTTATCGCGACTGCAGGATTTATTTTCACCCTGCAGATGATTTATCAAGCATTTTAAATGTGCGGCGACTCGAAATTCAATTTTCTGCGCCGCAACCGATATAAATAATAATTCTGGGCACTTGCCAGGAAATAATACTTTACGTGACTGAATCAAGCGAACGGGCAAAGAAAACACCTTTGCATGCGTGTCGAGTCTTTTCATACTATATACAGAGTGAGCAGAATTCAAATTTCATGCAGTCTATTTTATCCCAGCTTTTATTTCAAATAAAACTTTTTTTTTAAATTTGGGAAAAGTTTTTAATTCCTATTCATTTTGACTTCTCCGTTGCATTTTTGCATTATTTTATCACATATATTTATTTGTCTGTAAATGTGACGTTTTGATAAAGATAAGGGAAAAAATTAATTCAAATGCAAACCAGTTCACAAAACTAAAATTTTCTGACATGAAAATTAAACTAAACTTAATAAATTTTATTTAAATTAGGATAAAATTGAATTTTCAGCAATTTTAAATTGTAGATGAAAGTGTTTCAAAATTTTTCCATCTAGTGCTGAATTTAATTCAATTTTGTAACGAACTCTAAAATTAAGTATTAAAAACAAATCACAAAAAGATGTTCTTGGAAATGAGCTTTAATTTGAGTGATTTTCTTTTTCACGGCGAGTTGCAAACTCTTTTTCGCACCTTTCGTTGGCGCGCCATTTCGTTTTGCGACAAACAATTACTTTCGTGTGCATCTGGTGCGAAGTTGGCGAGCGAGACGCAAAGTTTTGTTTCGTGACAAGTCCAAAAGTTTGGGGCCAAACGCGACGATTCTTCTCTTGATATATTTTCTCGTCTCATTTCCTTTCCGCAATTATCGGCCTCAAATCGGTTTTCCATTTGAAAGTAAATATTATTTCGCGGGGACGGAAACGACGAGAAGAACAATTCCTTTTCCACCGAAATGAGAAAATAAAAGGTTGCGCAATCGGAAAAGCTGAAAAGCATTAGCATGAGAGTGGGAAGAAAAATCAATTCTTCGCAATCAGCACGCATGTCATGTTTCCATCGTAATTGGACTTTATTTGAAGGGGGACAGAACAAGTCCTTGTTAATTGTGGAATTCAAATCAACTCCAATTTCCACAATATAAATATCTGTTTGTTTCTCAAAGTGAGAGAATAATTGTGAAAAAGCAAAGAAGCTTTAAAATTGACTTTCCTTTGTCGCGAATAAATCTTGGAAAATAATAAACTTTTGATTAGTAAAAGGAAATAGCATAAATCCAAGCGAATATTTCAAAACAGCGCATTCTTTGATTTACTTGCTTAATTTGAAAGCCCGTGATGCATGAATTTGGATTTGATGGCCCCGTCGCATGCAACGAAATTCCCAACTTTCCTTCTATCATGATCTCAGCGACGTTTTGATTCAAAGTTATGCTTTCGATTGCGGATGCTTTTTCGCCTTTCGCTCCGACCTGGCTCGTTAAAATCTGATTATTCGCGTGTGCCATTAGCGAACGGAAAAGAACTTCTTTGGCCGGAACAAGAGAGAGAGATAAAGTCTTTGATTTTCCCGGCGCAGCCACTTTTATTGCTCAACCGCTCCGCAGATATTATCTCCCGATATGAAAATATATGAACATGCTCAAGAATCACATCAGAGGGCTTTGACTGGAAATAAAACAAAATCTTGTATATCGATTTTGCTGCGAATAAAACGTCTTGTTCGCTGGAAAGTATTGCTGGAAATTCATGCAAAGAGTAGGTTCGAAATCAAAGCTATGAAATCACTTTTTGTAAAGTTTAGCAGAATAAAAACATTAAAATTATATTTTTTGACTAGAATTTTCACATATATATATATATATATATATATATATATATATTTCCAAACTTTTACAGCTCAATATTTCACAAATATCTTTCAAAACTTTTAGAAACTACAAATTGAAATAAGATAAAAAAAAACCGTCTCAAACAGTACAAGAATTTGATCAAAATTTCTCCCAGTAATTTATGATTTATAACAACTCTAAAATGTAGTGGTAAATAAATAACAAAGTAGCTTTTATTTCTCTTGAAAGAATATTTTTTAACTCTATAAATCATTTTAATCTCACAATTTCATACCCCGCGTGTTGTGATTTATCAATTTTAAACATCTGTGTTTTGGTTAACAAAGGAACAAGAACATTATTTTCCATCAGCTCGCGGCTGTGATATCTTTTACTTATTTTTCTTTGTGTGTTGCTTTAGCCGAGTGGTGCCCGCGGCTCTAAAAAAATTCTCAAGCGATTTTATATACTCTGAGAGGATTGTGCGAAGGAGAATAAATAAGCCGCTTCCACTTTCCCTCTCCTCCATCCAACAAATCATTATTTCTTTTGAAAATTGCAGAGCACGTCCGAATTTACGACTTAAATTGCGTCAAGCTCAATTAGAAGAGGAAAATGGTGAAATTATTTGGTGCGAAAGCTTTCTCAACGAGAAGTAATTATTCAAGAAAGGAACCGCGAATTCGATTACTCGAGTGCACTCTGAGCTGCGGGGATGAAAACAAACGAGTGCTGCAAAGAGACAGACGGTCCCCAGACACCAACTTTTCAGCTCAAATTCAATTTGGCTAAGATGAAGCGCACAATCGGATTTAAAATGATAAATGTGCCTTGTTTTTGGAGTAAATTATTTAATTTAATTGTTATTCGTTTAAAATGTTGACCAGCGAAGTTAAGAGACCTAATATTTGAAAAGCTTGTTGAAAAATTTTTGATTCGTATCCATATCAAATAAGTTTAATTGAGACGCGGAGGATAACAAGATGAGAGGTGCGCACCATATGTCTTTTGACTGTTAATTAATTTGAGGCGCTGAGGCTCAAGTAAGAAGATTAATAAGAATGAGGTCGCGCCACGAAATTGCCTCGCTTTTGCACCCGTCAAAGTTTCAATAGAGAAAGCTTCACGCCTTTCAATTGCAAATCAAACAGAACAATGGTAAAAGGTGGTTATTAAAAGAGCTATTCCCGATTCACTTATAATCATTCTGATTATCCACCACAAGTTCTATTCATAACTTCTGCCATTCAAAAGCGTTTTAAGACTTTTAAGTCATAATGAGCATTTAATCAAAGATAATCGTTTTTGTATAAAAGGTTGGATAAAACTGAATAGGTCGTTAACCATGCAAAGCAATGCATCGTCGGAAAGCTGAGGTCACGAGGAATCAATTGAAATCCTGAAAGGTCAAACTCGCCTCGATATTTTGGAAAAAAAAACGACAAATTCAGAACTGAACGATCGATCTCATTGGATCGAATAGTTCCCCCACTACCAGAATGTCTGAAATGATATTGAATTTAACACTAAGTGTGAAACATCTTTGGAAAAGTCAGGTCACGAGCAATCGATTAGTGACCAAAGTTGAAACTAGCTTTCCATCTATAATTAAAATATTTGATCACATATCAAATACAAATGGCCGAAATAAGTATCTTTCTTCCGAATCTGATCATTTGGCCAATTGCATCCTATTATTGACTTGGTCACAAAGCGCCACTGACCTGCGGAAGTCCCTGCTCCAGCAAGCGTAGATGACCGGGTTCATGGAGGAGTTGATCCAGCCGAGCCAGGTGACGATGGCGCTGACGATCTCCTCGTGCTCGATGCAGCCGTGGCACATGCCGCTAAGCAGGTTGACCACAAAGAAGGGCAGCCAACACACGATGAACACGCCCATCACGATGCCCAGCGTCTTGGCCGCCTTCTTCTCCTTGGCGAACTTGGCCAGCCGCCGGCTGAACGAGAAGTTGCGCACGTTCTTCGAGGCCACGCGACTGCAGCTACTCTCGCCGCCGGCCACGCCCCCCTCCTGCGACGACCCGCTGCCCCCGTGCCCCCCGCCGCGGTGGATCCGCAGGGTCAGCTCCAGCTCGCTTGACCCCATCATCACCTGAACAATCGGATAAAAACAAAAGAATCTATGAGATCAGAGCCAAATGGCAGAAGGGTGGGGGAAGATTCCTCAGCCAATTCTCAGACTGATTCTCAAGAAATTTCACGGTGACCTTGTATTTTTGGTCATATTTCGATTCCTCAAGACTTGATGTATCTAAATTGGTCCAGTTTAGGAAGGCTTATTGAAATGTTTGCCCATTGCGGCGGCCAGCGGCCAGTCCCGCACCCTTGGGCTGGGGAGCACTCTTTTTAACAGTGAAACACGTTTGGCTTCCTGGGAGACACTGACTTGTTATATCGGTGGAAAATTACAGAATAAATGAATGGATGGCGTAATGATGAATGATTGACAGGTGTGAATGTGTGTGAAAATGAGAAATAGGAACTTGTACAAAATCTGAAAGTTACAAACGTAGCAAAACTTCTGAATATGAGGCTTCTGATTGGCTTTGCTTGCTCTATAACGGTTTTTGAGGTTTCTTTGGCCAACTAACCTGCTTGGATCCGAGCTTGAGGCTCCTGGTCTGGACGGCGGCTGCGCGGTAGATGCGGCAGTAGGTGAAGACCATGACGAAGAGCGGCAGGTAGAAGCTGATGGTGGAAGAGAAGAGGAGGTAACCCAGGTTGTCCGTGAAGGGACACTTGAGGTCGGGCACGGGCCGGCCCTGGCGATCGAGGCGCCACCACACGATGGCGGGAAACGAGATGAGGCTCGAGCAGAGCCACACAGTAGCGATCAGAAGCACGGCGCGCTTGTTGGACATGCGGTTGGGGTAGGTGAGCGGGTCCGTGATGGCCCAGTACCGGTCCAGCGACACCACGCACAGGTTCAGGATCGACGCCGTGCTGAACAGCACGTCCAGCGAGCGCCACGCGTCGCACCAGTTCAGGCCGAACACCCACTGCTTCTCCAGAACCTGCACACACAAAATTTACATCATTCAATTGTGCAATTTTCTATAGGAAAACAAATGTAAAAATACAAAAAATTAAATTTCCGTTAAAATGAAAAGCTTCGTTTCAATGATGTTAAATCTTGGTTCAGATAGATATTGGGAATTCTGTCACGAAAATTTTTAAAAATAGTCGATTATTATTTTTTATTTCTCCTATACATTTCAAAATTTTTATTCAAAGTTGCTTGTGTAGGACCAGCACTGTTTTAAAATTTGATTAGAAAAGTCGTGTTCTTGCCCCTTTTCAAATTCTTATCAAATTTGATATAATTTATTTATGCTGTATATTCAAATTAGAACCACAAAATGCCACGGATGTTGAAAAAGCTGTGGGATTTTTCATACATTCCGGTCTGTTCCGGTCCACTGAACCGTTGTCTCATAAAATGCTCACACCGGCGGCGGTTTCTGCTCTCTGCGTTCCACACCAAGATTCCGATCACTCCATTTTTTATTTTCCAGCTCTCTGTCCCCTTCAAACCCACTCTAATGGTTCTTTCTCTGCAATAAAATAAGTGGCACAGCCAACATTTTTCAGTCTTTAAGCTCAGCAGTATCAGATCTAATTGTGTGAAAATTTGCGTTCAAAGTTGCGTTTTGCGATTAAAGAAAGAAAATAATTTAAATTTCAAATTTATTTAAATATCAAAATAATTTTACATTGGAGGCTTCAGATATTTTCAGGTAAAATTAAGTTTTAACTGCAATCCTTGCTTCTTCTAACGCAACTCGTTTCTTCTCAAGTTCATTTCATTCCTTTTTTGTTTTACCTGCGAGGCAAATGACAAAGTGCTTTTGCATAGCGAGCGGTTACTTCCGTCGTGGCGACATAATTACTCCCTCGCTAATTTGCATACAAAAGGAAGTTGATTAATTACGAGAATGCAGCAACTTGCTTTGCTAGTTCTCCGAGTTGATTTTAATTACAACGAAACGCGCGCTACGATCGTAAAAGCGCCGTAAAATTTTCATGCCTTTCGCTCAAATTAAAAGCAAAAAAATCTTCTTTAATGAAGAGAGCGGCGCTGGATTTGCCGGAGAAAATAAACGCTTTATTTACTTTGGAGCTCACGTGTGCGTAAAGTCTCTTGTCAGATTACTTGCAAAGCCGGCCGGGTCTCGAGTTTATTTAGCAAAGACACACTTTGGCGCGCGAGCAGGTAGTTTAAAGGGGCTTCTGTTTGCTCAAACCTTGGAGCAAACTTTGCTTGAGCCCCTTCTTTTTGATTCAAACGCAAGTTTCAGCCTTTTATTGCGTTTCGGCTAATTGTCAAAAGTTTCATTTGTGATTTTCATTAATTAGATCTGCCAAACTCTAAAATTCATTCCCAAAGAAACTTTAAATTGGTTCAGTTTTCGCAGGGAGTTAACATTTTTGATGTTCCTTTCATAGGAAACTTTTGTAAACAACAAACTTTTTTATTATTATTATTGTTATTTAAAATTTAAGAAAGATATAAATAATGGCGTTGACAAGATCTGGAGACGGAAGGTGTGTTTGCTCGAATGCCTCGGCGAGAACAATTCCGAGCGAGTGAACTGCTCACGAGGGTCGCTGGCTGGCATTGTATCAAAAACAAGGACTTGTGGAGCTGCAGCTGCCCTGTCAGCCGCACCCTTCCACGAGAGCCTCGCAATTTACGGCCCCAATCGCAAACTTCCCGACACGCATTATCAGATTTCACCTCCGTGACACGTACCATCCCTCGTCAACCTTTATAGTTTTTTTTCTTTGCAATATTCTCCGGATTCCGTCGAAAGTGACACCAAAAGCGCTAATTAATTTTCTATAGAATTCAATCTCTGCTGCTGAAGTAATTCCGATAATGGTCGGGAAAGGTACAATAATCAATGCTTATCCCCGTTTTAATTTTAAAATGTTTCAACTTTATAAAGTTCAAATTTCAATCACATTGAATGATTTGTGTTTGTACAAAAAATATATTTTTCTTGATGGAATTTGTGGTTGTTGTTCATCTTTTCAATTCAATATAATATTAATTATAATAAACCTCTTACCTGTTGTTTATTCCTTTGTCTCAAAATTGTTAGACTGGTCATTTTATTATATTTATAGCTCTTGGAATCTCAGCAAATTAAGCGCATAATCTTTTGGCATACAATTTCTCGTTTTTTTTTTTTTTCTTCTTCCACAGCTGATTCAGATCATTTTCCAAATAATTTAGTCATTTTAGTTTATTTTCATGTTTCTCAAAATCAAGCGTGAAAATAAATTTAAAAAACATTATGCGTTTGATTTTAATTCCAAAAGATTTAATTGTTTTACAAAATGAAAAACTATTTTGTTTTTAGGAGTTTTGTTGTTGTTATTCATTTCATAATTCTGAACACATTTAGAAATTTAAGTTTGCTGGAATTTTGCTTAAAAATTTACTTAAATAGTAATGATTTCAATGTATGCTTGAGAGTTTTAAGTAGTTGTAATCGTCTCAATAATTTGCAAAATGAAAATGTTTCAAGAGATTATTATCATTTAATTAAAATGAATGACTAGAGACTAAATTTAATTGAAATTAAGAATCGTTTATGTAAAGTTTATAATAAATTTAACTAATTTCTCAATTACATAGCAGCAGTTTAAAAAAATCCTACAAATTTACTTATTTATTCATTATGTAATGCTTCAAAATCAAATTTACCTTTAATTAGTATCTAAATAAATTTAAAGCTTAAAAGACTATTCTCCTCATAGACAAGGTCAAATCAAGTTTGTTGCAACAATGTTGGATAAAATTTGCATTTATTTTCCAAAAAACGGCGTGTGGAGGCTTTTATTCGAGTTTGATAGAAAGTGTAATTAAAAAACCGTTCCAAAAAGAATAAAAACAAAACATCATCATTGTTGGTGATGAGATTGAGCAACAATCAAATCTCGTTTCATTGTTGCGAAACTTTTAGAATTCTTCAAATGTTCTACTGCCTCAAAATTTGATTTCATTAAGGACTTCTTATTGACATAGTCAAATCAAGTCCTTACAACAATATAAACAGATTTTTGCGATTGTTGAAAGACAATTGGAAATTTTAATCACCATTGTTGTAAAGACTTGATTTGACTATATCAATAAGGAGTCCTTAATGAAAAAAAAGTGGTTGTTGACGTTGTTGTACCTCGTAGAGCGCGCTGAAGGGCATGACGACGAGTCCGACGAGGCAGTCGGCGACGGCGAGCGAGAGGATGAAGAAGTTGGTGGCCGTGTGGAGGTAGCGTTCGCGCACCACGGCCGCGATCACCAGCCCGTTGCCCAGCACGGTCGCCGCCGAGAACAGCAACAACACGGTGGCCAGCACGACGTTGTCCACATAGACGTCGTCCTCGGCCGACGCCGCCGTCTCGTTGGCGCTCCCGTTCACCCACGACGCGTTCATCTCCTCACATTTTTTGACAAAACTCACAATTTCGAAACGTCGGCAACTCGCGGCACTCGCGGGACCGGCGGGTTGCGTCGTCCGACCGGCAGGCGCTCTTTCTCCGCCGCCTTTCCAACCGCGACTGCCGACCCGACCCCAGATCCGAACCAAGACCAAGCGCGGCTGCGCCCTCCGACACCACTCGCGAGCAAAGTTTATGCCAAATGTCTTTTCAATTTTATAAAAAAAAATTGTTTCCATTTTCAGCGAGATTGCCTTCAGATGCGACAAGTTTAATATATTCTTAGAAAGTTCTCATTTTTTTATAATACTCTGATCTCATGTAAATGGGAGAGACGAGAGTCTAAAAACAATATTCCAAATAATGGCTTACTTATCAGTTTGCAATTTATTTTCATCTTTTCTGTCTTTATTTTTAAACAGTTCCAGAAAACCATTTCATTTTGTTATTATATTTCATCTGTTCTTGTTACTAGCCAATTTTGGTTTAATTTTCAATTAATTTCCAGCTTTTTAGTTAAGCGGAAAAGCTTAAAGGCCTTGTATGGTTATGTTTTGAGGAGGTTAAATCCTGGTACCAATGCTTCAGATTTTGCACGCCCTTCAAAATGATACCATAGTCATCACTCCTATGGCACTCCGTCTTCATGCGAAAGCCGAAAAACGAATGTCCGTGCGGGCGCCATCTTGGATTTTGGGGTTTCCTGGTTTTTTAAGGCAAATCATTATTAATTGCTTTGTCATCATTACTTAATTTTCAGAACAATTGGAACTATTGATTTGCCTTGCAAAACAAAAAAGACCCAAAAATCCAAGATGGCGGCCTTTCGGAATTTATTTTTTTTGCTTTTGGATGCGGATGGAGTGATACAGAAGTGATAAATAGAGTATCATTTTGAAGGGTGCGCAAAATCGGATCCATCCGTACCAAGATTGACCCTCAAAGAAACGAAAATTTTTAAACCCTTTAAAATAAAGAGCGAAAGTAAGTACGAAAAGTAAATAAAACTGCATAATTTTTTGGCCGACGTTTAAAATTCACATTTAAAGTTTGAAAATGGTGGTGCATCTCATCATTATTTCATTTGGTGGAGCGCGAACGTGCTTTAACCGCTTTCATGGTTTCGTCGCAAACTTCCTTGCCACCGTTTTTTGCTCACTTTTGCTCTCTCTCCAGATAGACGGAACGAGACAAACGTTTGCTCGCTCGTTAGCAAATCAACATTACAGTCGCTCTCTCGGTTTGTTTAATCATCCGACGACACACTAACGACTCATCCGAGCAAATGAATTTGGCAAATTTTGCATCTGAATTTTAGATCAAAACTTTTGTTTTTAGCAAAAATCAGGTGCTGGAAATACCTGCAAAGTAAATTACAATTAAATATAATAAAGAGTCTTCTTTTTTTGTGCTTCAGGAAATTAAAGCAAATATGTTTTTGTATGATTCTGAAAGGATGCTCCTCTTTAAAGCGAGATTTCGCAAATAAAAATTGAATAAAGCATTCTCATGAATGGGAAATTGTTGGAGCTGGGAAAATAATTAGCAATTGGCTGCATCGCCACGCATTGAAATGAGAGCTTTTTCATTCAATTATTTATACCTGGCTCGCGTTTAATGCTTCGTATCGCGTGCAAATTGCGGCCAAACAAAAAGAGCTACGTTGATTTTAATCCGGCGAAACTCACGCTCCAGTTTTCCCCTTTTTGCTGCTAATTTTGATCGAGTTGCAGAAATTTGGAGCGACATCGGAAGATGGGCAACCCGCGTCATTTTCGAGCCCAGCAGGTTGCATTGCCAAGTGAATTTTTCCATTTCTCAACGTGACGGTGCAGAAAAATTTTACGGACGGATTCGAATATGAGAATTGAGGGAATTAGAACAAAATCAAAATTTTTTACCATTCCTCTTGCGAGGCTCAAAATTTGAATAAGTTTAAATTGAAAATCAATTAAATTTGTAACGGAAGTTTGAGAAAACGGGTTCATTTAAAAAAAAAATTGCCTATTCAGACTAAAAAGTATAAAAAGTTTCGGTCAGATTTGAATTGTAAATTTTGCCTTTCCCCATTTTTGTGTTGCTTCACATATGGAAAGAAATTTAAACCAGACAAAACCGAAAATAACCCTCACATATTCCAACAATTTTTGTTTTTAAATCTGGCAAATGATTATTGACGATTGTTGCTCCATTTCCATTCGAATGAGCAATTTTTGTGACTCGCATTTTGCACATTTGTGTAGCGAAAAGCCATTAAAACTTATTAAATGCGCCGGTCTGTCTCTGTTCCTCGCGAGAATACGTTTTTCGTTCGAATAATTTTTCATCTCGCCAGGACGAGCTTCGCGTCAGGATGCAAACTTTGCTCGTTTGTCGCGCCAAATAAAATCGGCAGCAAAGATTGGCGCGCACAAAACGGATTTGGGGGTGCGAAATATCTGTCGGATTGTGTCAAACGCGCCGGCTAATGGGATTATAATGGCGACGAGTTGGGGTTTTGCCACCATAACAAGCTCCGGCGTCTCTCACATTTCAAACGTTGCACAAAAGTCGTCACATTTTATAAATTGATAGAGCTGCATTTGCAACAAAAATCGTGACAAGATTCAAATTGATAAAAAAATATTGTAAATCCGATCAAAGTTATTTTAGTTTATTTGATCAATTCAAATTTTGACTCTAGTAAATTCCACGTTTAATCAGAATCAAAATTTTTGAACCTTTACAGATGAAAAGGGTGAAATTTGAATGAGAATTTAATTCCGCGACGGATAAGTATTAAAATTTTGATGAATGGATTTTATTTTCATTTCGCAGTCGAGTTTTCAATCAGCTTTCGTTTCATTTTTCCCACGGGCTTGGCGCAATAATGGAGCAGCAGGTGAGAATTATATTTTCAGAAATAAATCATCGGATTAATTGGTCCTGAATTTTTGCTCCGTGAACCGACACGAAGCGCCAATTTTTATTCCACCGCACTTGCGGCGGAATTCATAATTCGCGGATGGGCAGAAGCGGCTTTTTTTCCAAACGTCAAACTTTTCCCTCGAGCGCTGCAGCTGGCGGCGGCGAGGACACGTCTAATCAAACGATCTCTCTGAGGAGCAACTTTGGCCCTGCCAAACCACTTTACCATGCGTCATTTTACAAAATGAAATGTTTTTGAAATTAATTTCTACTGTTCGGTGTACAAAGACACTTTTTTTAATTTAAAACAAATTTCCATAAAAAATATTGTAATTTGACATGAATTTATCCAAACTCAATTGTTCAAAATCAAATGAATCATTTTAAAAGTTCCAGCTTTGCTCATCTTTCTTCTCTGTTGATCTCGGCTTTGTAATCTTTTCTGATCAATTTCTGCGCATTAGCAGCGAATCAGATTAGAAATCAGCAGGAAATCAGAAAAAAAAACACGATTGATTGGAAAGCTTTTTTCCCTTGCTCTGAGAAGAATTTAATAAAACGCGCGCCAAGCTCAAGATGATTCAATTATTACATTTTTCCTGCCGCTGCAAGAGGAAAAAATTGTAAATCCAGTTTTCCTGTTGCATTAAAGAAACGTTTTGCTCGATTCTGCAATATTTCGTGAGAAGAAAACCTCAACAGGTTTCAAATGTGGATCGCGCCTTTTTATGGAACAGCGAGAAAGTTATGCAAACTTATTTTGAATGAGAGGAGGAACGGATGTGAGGGCGATTTCGTAATTTCGTCGAAAACTTTTCAACGCAGCCAACTTTTTGTGTAACAAAAATTGAGAGATTTCTAAAAAACATATTATCAAAAAAACCGACGGAGGAAAGAAGAAACTTCTGAAATATTTGATGAAATTTAATGGTTTAATTTTTAATATCATTTTCGTAAAACAAAAAATTATTAATTATTCCAGCGCAAATTGAGTATCGGCAACTTTACTTTCCTTGTGGCTTGTTAATTATGGATCAGCCGCACGTGTCATCCGCCGATCAACATTTTTTTTTTATCAAAACCAGCCACGACCTCGTGCTTGAATATAATTTTTATGAAAGGAGCGAAATTGACAGCGCGGAGGAGGCGCAGGAGATAATTTCATCCCCAGAGGCGGTGGCAACCAATTAAAAGAGGGAAAAGAAGTCTCGCCAGGGCTTGCAGAAATTAACAATTTTGATATTTTTTTTTCATATACACAACCTGAGGATAAAGGATTTGATCAAATTGTCGGTATTTGGTTTAAAAAAAAAACTATAGTTTATCAAAAGTTCCCGTTCCTTTACTTTCCCGAGAGCGAAATTAATTGCATAATATGCATATTATGGTCCCTGAAATAACGAGGAAATCAAGCAACAAGAAGATCGTTTCTCGAAGCGTGATCAATTTGGTCCGTTTTCATTATTTGCATGTGCACGTGTTGCGAATTAATTTTGGCCTGTGACGAAAAGCCCAATTCATATCTCTGTGAATTAGTGGTTTGTACTTTTGAATTGGCCGAAATTGAAGACCAAACTTATGCTTTGAAGTGGCGCTTTTCAAAGGAACATGGTCGTTTCCACGTGGAATTTCATAGCTTGTTGAATGCAATTTCCAGAAAGGATGAAAAGCCCCGGCGGACCCACAAAGAACGAGACTTTTCAACAATTATGAAGATTAGCGCAAAACTTTTTCAAGAAGAGTTGCCAACTTTTAAGCGAGACAAATTGTCCAAAGCCTTTTAATTTGCACCAAATTACTTTTTGTAAAACCAGAATTCTTTTAAAAATAACTTCAAATTCCCACCAAATTTAAAAAATTTATACAATGGCCGGGTCCGAAATGTCAAATCCTGATCTGAATCCCGGAATGAAATCCCGGTTTTCAAATCCTGATCTTTTTGTGGAATTAAGGTTTACAGATTTTTACCGTGTATCACTCAAAGATATTCGAGATCAACTTTTTCGAGTACCAGCACCAGAAATTTGCATTCCACCGCAGTAGGCCGACTTTGTTTTGGTTGCGTTTTGCCACCCAACTCGCCTCACTTGCCGACGCGGTTGATGTGACGCACGACAGGTGGCTCTGTCAGCAGCCGGCTGAAATCACCCACCACAGGGTAGCGAGTTTCATCGTTAAAT